ACAACCCAGGGTGGGACCACTGTAAGGATTGCAAGGCCTTTGTAAGTTACCATCAGTACTAAACGGGCCACCAAGCCACACTATTGCTCCTTAGCACATGTATGGATTACTTTACTAATGCATGAGTGTTATGGTTTAGACCTGAAATGCCCCCCCCCAAGAGTTTCATGTGTGTGGCAGATGACTGGATCATGGAAGTACTATATTCATCAGTGGAGCTGAATGTGTATATGAAGACATGGCGTTTGGTTGGAGGTGGGTCACTGGAGTGGGGGTGACATAGAAGGGTATATTCTTGTCCCGAGCTTTTCCTTTCTCTCTCTACTTCCTGGCTGCTATGCAATGAGCAGTTGTCCCCCATCTTCTACCATGCTCTTTCTACCTTGGAAGCCAACCAACTATGGACTAAAACCATTAAGACAAATAAACCTCTCCTTTAAATTGTAGGTGCCAATCATTTTGGCTCGGAACAAAAACAAAAAAATGACTAAGACAAGGGAGTACTAATTGCAGGCCTCAAACTCATTTGTAAAATATAATTTTCTTAATTTTTCTATATTTCTATAATTTCTATTATGAGCTCTCATTCTACTAGGAGACAGAAAACTCTATCGCAGCTAATTCTGGCTAAGCTCACTCAAGTGCATCATGGCACAGAGGCCCATGGATCACCAGGCACATGCTCGGCCCCCTCATACTGACATACAGGCACGGCACCCAGGGGAACCTTGAAGGCTTCCCTTCTGCTCAGCCCCAGGCTCCTCCAGTTTCTTTGCAGAGGTTAAAGAATTTCTCCCAAGATACTGATTTGTTCTTAAACAAACAACAAAAAATGAACTTACACTTGGAAGCCTTGCTGCAATATTACATGATGATGTCATTATTTATGGAGTCCTCACTGAGCCTATAAAATCCAAAGGCTTTACAATCTGTATTTACAGTGATAGACATAGACAGCCTCCCCCAACACCATTTACACACACACACACACACACACACACACACATCCCTCCCAAATAATTCTGTAAGTCAGCCCATGTTTTGATGTAACTGTGTGCTCTCTATTTTGGCATTGTTGGAGCAGCCCAAGTGAAGCTGCAGATTAAAATCGCAAGTCTTGCAGCTCAGACAGGGAATAAAGTACAAACACTGGAAGTGATCTCATTTGCTCAGAATTGTGCTTTTAAAGCTCAAGTTCCCTTGAAATATGAACCAAACAGAATATAGCATTTAGACAAGAGAACTTTATCCAGTAAATATTAATTAATGAATAAATGACATTTTCATACTTATTATTGGCATGCTGATTAAACCATACATTTTTCATACTGCTTCTTTTCAATTTGGGACTACGATTATTTGTAAAAATAAGTATGCAGTACATGATGGCAGAAATTGATGATGATAATCTAGTGACTTACAGTGACAAAAGCTCAGAGCAATACATTGTCCATTTTTGGTTCCTAATCTCTAGAGCTTTTATGCAAGATGAATTTATGAACTTTCAAAGCGCGAAAACTAATTTCTGAATCTTACAGAATAATGTCAGTGACAATAACAAGGAGGTGGCCAGGGAGATCATTTAACTTCCCCTCGGCAATATCAGCCTCCTGGTACCATTCCCAGTTAAATAAAACCTGAATAAAACACTGGATATGCCACTCAAAGGCAGCTTCAGAGCGAATCCCCAGGCTTCTCCCTCCTGCAGACAGCTGTGTTGAACTTCTGCCTGCTGGCGCAGAGACGTCACTGTCCTAATACCTGTCTCTGTGTCAACATCTCCACAGCCACCACCATCTTGCCTTCCAGAGCCTATTTCATGGTTTGGACAGAAGAACTTCATGGCACAGCACCGCACACCACTCCCACCCCCACATAACACAAGCTACTTTCCACGAAGTACTCATTTAAAGAAAGGATGAGCCTGAGAACCCACTCTTGGTGATCCTGGTGGAGCTTTGGAATGGCTTGGGCTTCGTGGTCTCCCCCAGGCCACTGAGGGACTTGGAAGGGGTGCTCTCAGAAGTCTTTGGTAACGCAGGAGTCTCGGCTTCTGTTTATGCAAAGGCTGGAATCTGGAGTGCTTATCAAAACCCTCAGTGATCCTGTAAGCCGGGGCCCCTTTTCGTCCTCTTTTTTTTTTCTAGAGAACATGAGAAGCCCTTCCTGAGTAGGACCACGATGGCTGCTAGAGCTCAGATGCTGCTGGTGCCAGAGTCCTTGCTCTGAGGAACCCATGCAATGCTCTTTCACCACATCCAAGCCCTGTCAGAGGTGGAGACAGCTGCAGAGTCACACACATGGCTTTGGGCCCTGGGCAAACAAGCCAGGGCAGTGAGGAGAAGACCACTTGGGCTTGGCTTAGGCGCCCTTCGTCCTTTCCTCCCATCTCACTGGAGAACCTAAAGGAAATGGTTTCCAAGCAACATTCTTGGCTCTAGCTTTGCTCACAACAGGAGCTTTTCAGAAGAACAGAAAGAGTGCAAAGCAAAGACTCCCCCTTGGGCTCAGAGACACCATGTCTTTCCCAGCTGCAGCCCAGCCTTCTTTACAGGTGCCTGGCCACAATGGCCTCAGGGTCAGCATCTTGTCAACTCTTATGAGCAGATTTCATTATGACTGCTTACTTCAAAAAGAGGATTTAACCCAAAGCAGATTTAGCAGGCAGTTTCCAAAGGGCAGTGGAACCCCAGGCCTGACCTGTGAGAAAAATCTCAAAGTCTGCACTGCCCAGGAGCTGGGGGTGGGGCGTCGGAGTTAACATAGAAGCCTCAGATTGCAAAGGAGCCTCAGAGAGGCCCTGCAAGATACCCAGGTCCTCCAGAGGGTGTTAAGTGTAGAGTGAAATGTCTGAGTGTGCCCACGGGTGTCCTGGGTGCTTAGTCAAGTACTGACCTGAGGGAAAACATCCTCCCCTAAAAAAAATACTAAACTTTAAAGTACTTTAACAGCTAAGTAAGAGTCAGAGCTCTCCGCTAAATTCTCAGCTAAAACGTAAAAGCTTGATGATACATACCAGTGATGCTACTCAAAATATTAAAAGCCTGGTAAGATGAATTTTTAAAAATAAAATTTACATTATGATTTTTACTCCTTTCTGTATAGAACTTTGCTCAGGAGAGGTTGCTGCAGTTTAGGTGAAATCAAACACTTCCCCAAAAAGGAAGGAAACAACTGGAATTGTTCATCGAGAGCTGACAAACATGAGACTAGTAAATAAATGTATCTGCGATGGGCATACTGGATCATGACCATAATGGTACTCTGAACTGTTACAGGTCTCTATCAGGTGTTGTTACTGCAGTTTCTCTTAGAGGGCACAAAAAATGGTGAAAAAAGAACAAAGAAAGAGGGTTCAGGGGTGTACCACCCATGCATCACCAAAACCTGCTCCACCTGGACAGCGCTACCTCTGGAATGCAGCATGGTAGGAAACTGTAGTAAAGACTGATACCTATCTCTGAATAAAATGGCTTACAAAGTGATAAAAATAATTCTCACAGTGCTCTTTAACATTATCTAATTTCAGAATTTTAAAAAGTCACTCTCAAACCAATTGCTACTCCTTTACCTGACCACATTCCAATGCAGGACAACAAACTAGATGATCATGGTAGATACGTACAATTTTTATTGTCTTAGGAACCTTGTTTGCTGTATCTGTAGCTTAAGGTTGAAAGTTCTGACAGATTTAAGGAGTGGGATTTATTCTGATTGGTTACCCAGAAATGTCAAACCAGATTTTCATCTATTTGTTCAAACATGAGGCTGGTCAACTTAACTTAAAGGAGCTTAAGCACAGATAAGTAATGTTAATACTTGTTTATTTTCCTTTCTCCCTTCCTTCCTTCCTTCCTTCCTTCCTTCCTTCCTTCCTTCCTTCATTCTTTCCTTTCTTCCTTCCTTTCTTCTTTTCCTTCATTCCTTCTTCTCTCCTTCCCTTCCCTCCTTTATTTTTCTTAGTATAATAGTCAGCTGGTACAATGTCCTGCATTAGAATGTGGTGAGGCAGTAAGACAGCCACTTGGTAGATCACACATAACACTTCACTGAGTATTCTTTGTTTCATTTTTCCTGTGTCAAATCCAACAACACACGTGCAAGTAAGCAATACCAATAATTTTTTTGTAGAAAAAGCATTTAACATACAACTCATTCTGTTTCACTGTTTAATTTATGATAAAAGCTTCTTTCTACTACTAAACTAACTGAAGAAAACCAAATCTCTGTTTTGGTAACTAAACAAATGGTAAAGCTAGAACAGATAAAGATGTTGCCAGGGGCTCTTGGTTATAAGCCCCAGACACAAAAGCAGAGATGCTGATAACTCAAGTCATCAGAGTTCAACAGCTTTGGTTTCAAAGACTGTGGAAGTCACAGGCATAACTATTCAGGGAGCAATTCAAAAGATGGTAGAAAAGTTCATTACAAAGCTTTTCATTGGAGGTCTCTGCTTCCTATGTGGCAATTTGGGTGTGAGAATGGGCTTAGAGGCAACATAGATTTGGTTTTTATTTGGTTTGCGGTTGTTTTTATATGGAGAGTTTTACAAGGTATGTGGCTTTTAAAAAGTTAAGCAGGCCGAATAGTCATCAAGTCATTTATACCAAACCAAACACTGAGACTTTTCTACACAAATATGAAGCATAAATACTGTGGAGTTAACATATGATGGCTACAGTTAAGAATTCCTCAAAAGCAGATTTCAACCCCAAAGAGAAAAAGCAAATTCTTTCCGGTCGAAGGCAATCTATAGGGACAGTTTTCAAATGTACAGATGTTATCGACCAAGCTCACATACAAGCTCCCTGGGTTGCTTCCCAGTTTTATGGAACACCTTTGTGGAAATGTGACACCCACTCGCGTGCACCCTGAACACATTTGTATGATAAGCACGGGTAAAAGTAGGTCTTCCCGTCTATGTCACCAGCACTCAGAAAGAGGAATCGGGCTGGGCCTGTCCTGTGAGGGGACAGACAGGGCGGGCGCCCACGTGTTACCTCTCCCGCTCCCGCTCCAGCAGGTTGGTGAAGTCGTCGCTTTTGCTCATGTAGTCAGAGTGCTTGTGCTTCTCAGTCTCCAGCTCATACACTGTGCGACGGTGGCACTTCTCTGCCAGCAGCAGCTGCTCCAGCATGCGTCGGTACGTCTCCTTCTGCTTCTCCTCAAGCCTGTCCAGCTAAGGAAGCAAAGACGGGGAGGTGTGATATTTTATTTCACTGACCTAGGACTCCAGAGAGCTGGTTTACATTTTTTTGTCTGGTGACGGATCGCCTGGGAGGAGATCACTGAACACGGTATTCTCCTCGTGTCCACCACCCCTGCCCTTTCTGTATGTCAACTGACCTCATAAACTAGCCACAATAGTGCTGCATCTTCCCTTCCTCCCTTCAGATCCTGTAAATACATGCGTCACTGGTAATCTTTCAGGAGAACAAACTCCTCCATAGTTTTAATGAGATAGCACAAAGAAAGAAACTGACAAGCATTCCTCTTCATCTCAGAAAGATTAAGATCTCAAGCTTCTCCTTTGGCAGTAAGTATCATCATCATAATCTTTTTTTCCAAGCTTGCAACTATATGCTTTTCTAGGAAAGCAGATGAGGGATCCAAAGTCCTCTTTTTTCAAGAGGGCTTTAGAACTCGTACAAAGTATGTATCTCTATAAGAAGTCTATCAAATACTATTACAGAATTGTTTGTTTCATTTTCTTTGGCCAGGGTGTCAGACCTTTAAGGAATCCGGCTTTGATCATCTTTTTAGTGCCTGGCACTGTGCTAGCACAGTCCCTGGAACAAAGTAAGTGTTCACTAAATACTTACTGAATTGGGCCAAATCTTAATCGGACTAGGCTTTGTCATTTTTGGTACTACTGAGGCTATGTTATTCATATTATTCATAATATAAATTAATAATCTAATTAGTGATCTCAATAACTATCAGGATAAATAATTGAGGTAATGTAGCTAACCAGGATACTTTAGGTTAGATTATTTAGATACTTCATTGGAGAACAGTTAGAGTATCCTCCGCCTTTCCACTAGGTGACAGTATCACCACCTCCAGGTGTGACTGTCCCCATTCTGACACTGTCAAATGTTCCTTGCAGAGAGAAATCCACCCTCGCACCACTACCTACTGTTGCTGTAGTACCAACGGATGTATTTAAATCCTCACTCGAACCAACAGCCAAACCCCTAAGACCTGGTGTCCATACCAGATCTGTCCCTCCTTAGATTTCTGCAGTTGCCTTTCGGTTATAAGAAGGATTTGAGCCAGGAATGGTGGCATGCCTGTAACCCCAGCACATGGGAGGCTAAAGCAGGAGGATCACTGCAAGTTTGAGACCAGACTGGGTACAAAGTGAGCTCAAGGCCAGCCTGAAGTGCATAGTGAGACCCTATCTCAAAAAGAGAGACGAAAGAAGGAAAGAAAGAAAGAAAGAAAGAAAGAAAGAAAGAAAGAAAGAAAGAAAGAAAGAAAGCAAAGAAACAAAGAAACATGATTGGACCTTTTCTCTGAATTTTTATATGCTAAATGCAAATGGATCACTTCTGGGGGCCAAAATTAAACATAGGCTGTCCCCATCCTCAGTACCTTCTTCCCAGATCTCTACTGCCCTTGTTTAGGAACAGAGACTAGATGGTGACTGGCAAAGAAACCCACATTAACTGGAAGCTGATGATATCTAAAATCATTAGAGTTTGGTATATTTTCCTATCTTCTGATAGTTTTGTTTATATAATCTGTACAAGAAATTTCCCATTGGAATAGCTCCTTATTGCAAACTGTTCTCAGAAACACTCCCAAGCTTTCTACAAATGAGATATTTACCATTTTTAAGAAATTTATCTAGTCTTGCTGGAGCATCATCATTATGAACATGGAGAAAGAGCAGTTTCCCCCGCTTTTGATCCACCTACATCATCATGAAATAGGACCCTGTGTTCTCGGAAGAATCTGGAGACCACTTGCTGCCTGTTTGGCACCCTCCCCTCCTCCTCCCTAAGGAAGGGGAGTCACTGGAGTAGGGAACTTGGAACGTGCAGCTCAGCCCACACATTGTACTCTCAAGGACCCAGCTTTTCCCAGCATCTCTCAGCCTATCAAGGAATTGTGCAGGGAAGATGGCGGCATTGTTAATTGGACAGTTGGCTGAGAAATCCAAAGAGACTGATGGAGTTGTGGGAGGCAGCCTCAGCCTCGCAGAGTCCACTTGGGCCACGACACTGCATTCCCAGCAGCTGTGGTCCTGGGAGAGGCCCCTGAAGCAGGTTGCTGTGTGGAGGATGCAGTCTGGACCGGCACCAGCACGACTTGGCCCAAGCAGAATTACATTATTAGGTCATTTTCTGTCTCAGCGCCTACATTGCTGAGACAGTGGGGCAGACAGCGTATTTCTCAAACAGAACTCAGATCCAAACTTTAAACTGTGCAGGCATTAGCGAAGGATTTAGCATTTCGTTGCATATAAGAACTTACACTGGTAGCAGTGGATCAGCCATGCCAGATACTATTTCTTGCTATTTTATTTGGAACTACTCATACATCAAGCTCCTAAGTGAGAACAAGGTGATCTATCTTTGTTGACTCTGTGGCTCATCCAGAGACACTGAAGACCATCTACCATAACTTAGGACCAGAAAGAGGTTCATGAATCATATATACTGTGTATCTGGCTTTTGGCCCACAGATCCAACCTGCAGCCCAGCACAGAGGAGTGGCTTTTATTAATGAACAATGAAAATGGGATGGGCATCGATTACTTTGGAAGGATAATGTCCACTTGGATAGCAGTAGAAGGAAAATTCAATGAGATCATCATAAAGCTAAAGGCCAAAATTTTACTAAGGAAAGAGTGTACCTGGAAATCGTATTCTAAGGAATCAAGTTGTCAGAGCAGTGCAAGGACTGGAGATGGGAAATAATTTCAGTATGTTTAGGTAAAAAAAGGAACATGGTTCAAGATATGGTGTAAGCTCTGTTACCTGCAGAGAAGTATTGAGGAATTCAAGAGGAGAGAAATTAATTTAAGAGGAAACACAAAGCCTCAAAGACAGGATAGAGTTCAACAAAAGGGACATGGATCTAAGTCTTTCAATCACTGCTGAATCGGAATGGGTAGCCAGAGAGCGTGGAGGCCTGATGCCAAGTACAGAGCAGCGTGAACCCAAGGAAGGAGGTGTCAGGACCCCGGAAACAACTGAGGAGCATGTTGCAGATCTCTAGAGTCTTTCATGAGATCAGCTGGGGCCCCTCCCTTGAGGATGAAGGTAGCTTTTCAAAGCATTTATATAAAATACAGGCAGTTTTAAGAAATACAATCTGGGAAGATGAGACTATGACCTGTGAAGCATTCTTTGGTGAATTCCAGGGTATCAGCTATTGCGAGGAGAGGTGCTGGTATTGCTCAGGGCCTAAACATGGAACGAGAAACTCTGGTACAGGTGGTTTGAAGGAAAGAGGAGGCAAATAAAAGGGAATCCAAGAAAACAGCAGACAACTCTAAACACAGATGTGCTGTGACACGAGACGGCCTCTTCATGAAGGGCGTCCACCACAAGGACACAAAAGCAAATACGATTGGTGTTAAGCAAATGGTTTTGGTTGACTCCAAACACCTTGATCTTGCATGCCTCATGGGGGAGACTACACACTGAGAACTTGGAGGCATATTTGAAAATACATATCAGGCCTGAAAGCATAGGGAAGCAGAAGCAAGAAAATAAATTAAAATCCCTCTGAGATCCACAAAACAGGAATGGAGAAAGGGGGAAACTGAAGAAAATGGTAAAATGCCAACAATAAACAGACAAAAACAACTCAGCCGAGCCTTCCTACCACAGGAAGCAATTTCAACGGCAGGAAATACATTTGTTGCCTGAGTAGAATTGTCACTCAAGGACTGGAAATTTCAAATTTAAGGGAAGGCTTACCAGAGGTGTTGGTGCAATTGGAGGCTGAATCAGAAGAATCATGCTACATTGTAAGTTTAAAACCAGCTTAGACTACAGTACAAGACTCTGTTTCAAAAACAAAAACAAACAAAATCAGAGAGGGCACTTAGTTCTGAGGAAGCACTACCTAACTGCTCTCTAGGCCCAAGTCACACAGGCTTCAAGGGAGTCATTATTTAAAGACATGAATTTCTTAAGCTTGTGCATAGAAGATGAGAAAAGAAAACAAAACAAAACAAAACAAAACAAAACCAGGATTCAAGTGGTTTCAAACATACAAGTGGAAAAGGAGACCACCTAAAATAAGACCTATGCCTTGAGGAGGCCACCCCATAAGTCCCAAGACTTTGTAAAAAGACAGGTACATTTGAAATGCCACTCACTGAAGGCCAAGGTAGTCCACACAAACAGATCCCTCCAGCTGACCCAGGGAACACCATTTCCTGTCATCACTGACCTTTTGATGGTAACATTGTTTGATAAGAACCCTGCCCCACTATCTAGGACCCTACTGTAGTTGAAGACATTCTCTGTCCTTTCCTCAAAGGTGCCCAAATCCCTGCTTTGCTCTTGGTAAGAGTAACATAGGCCTGTCCTATACTGGGTGCTAAGGTCAAGGCACGTAACGTTACTTGAAATAAATTGATCTTGGAGCTGGGAACTTTATTAGCTGTATTTAAATGTATGAGCATGAATTGGCACTATGGTAATTGCATGTGTCCTAATAAACCTTCAGATTACTTGAAGAAAAAAAAAGGATATGGCACTTCAGGATAAATTAATGCAACCATGAAGTGCTAATGAGACCAGCTTATTTTACTGAAAAAAACAGTTTTCAGATAATCAGTTGAGATCTGTTTGGTGGAGATTGAGCAGAAATAGATATTGGAAGGTGGGAAACCAAAACTTGTTTTTCTTGGAATTTTGCTTAAGAATTATGATCTGATGCTCTGGACATCAGTGTATAACAGTGTTGAAAGGATTTAATATTTGCTACTTAGTTTCTCCCCAGGGAGAAAAAGATTCACTGTGGTGAATTCACCGCTTACCCTTCGGGGAATGCTATTGGAAAACCTAGCTGGGCCTAATTTGGTGTGGAAATTATAATGATCAGTGACTTTGGTGGGGCCTGAGGTACAACATGGCTTTGAGGAGCAAGAGGTAGACTACTTGCTTGTGGTCCCAGGAACCTCCTGGTGCACTGATGTATTGGGGTTCCCTTTTCATGACCCCAGAAGCCAGACTGCTCCTGCATAACGAGAGCTTGATTGTTCATACCGAAATCTGTGGCTGGTGAAAGAAAACCTTCTCCCTAGCATTTCTATTTCTCTCACAAGACAAGCCTTCATTTGTAGCACTGGACACCATGCTGACTTTCTCTCTCTTCTTCTCTCTCCCTCTTCACTCACTTCAACTGAATGGGAAGAAAGACCTTTCAGATTGTTGAGAGGAGAAAGGAACAAAAACGTTTGCCCAGAACAAAGAAGCTGGTCAGTTTCAAAACAAATAGTGAATGTTTCTGCTCTGCTTTGCAGTCCATTGGAGGAATAGCTGGGCAGGCGCGCCTTCTGAAGGTAGTTTAGCAATTTCTCTCTGCAGGCCATCCACAGAACGTGCTGGGCTGGAGCCAGGGAGGCTAAGTATGTCTGCTCTAGACTTGCCTCTCCCTTTGCAGGAGCCATCTCAATCTCTAGCCATGGGAGAAAAGAATTAAGGAGCCCTAATGAGACCATTTATCCAAATTGAGTTCTCCAATTCAGGTTATAATCTTGGTGTTTTTTTTTTTTTTTTTAACCTCTATGCATCTTTTCTACTCCTCAAATCTCTCCACATTCAGAATCAATTAAGGCTATGGGCAATTATCATCTTTAAATCCTAGCAAACACTGTACTAATGGCTAATATTTTTGAAGTGCATTTTGTGCTATACGTTATGTTATGAACTTTGTAGGCATCACTCCATTTAATCCTTAGAACAACTCTGTGAGATGTACAGTGATTTCTTCCACCTCACACATAAAGGATCTGAAACTTTAAAAGGTTTATGTGACTTGCATAAGGCCATGCACAGCTAGTAATGGTCCCTTTCAGACACAGAAGCAGATCCATCCTGCTGACTGCATTTTGCTACATAATCATCTCAACATTTTTTTTTTTTAAAAAAGATGAGACCATAACTCCAGTTTACCCTTGTTGCACAAATTGGAAAATTACGGGAGCATCAATCCAGGGTTGAATACTATCAAAATGAGGTCTTCTGTCAGATCTGTCCAGTTGAGTTTTTCCATAGACTTGATGTAAATTAAAGGTTAAATTTACAAAAGGGTGATTCAATTTTTAATTTCTGTATTATTTTTTATTCATAATACTAATATTTCCGCTTTGCATTTTGTTATGAATTTGAAGAATCAGTATGACCAGATCCACAAACTGGTATCCTAATTTGGCACTGTTATAGTATGAGAGTTTTAAAATGTGGCAGCATGGGTAATTAATGACAGCGGTCCACAGTTCCTAATATGATCAGATACTGCCCAAACATAATTCTTTTCACCTTAAAGGATTATCCTAAGTGTTTCATTGGTATTTTTCCTCAATTACTGTATTATAGTTACTCATATAAAACCTTTTAAATATGACGGGCTTTAAGATACCAGAAAAGAGTGATATCAAGTTCATTTTTTAACATTTATAACCATAAGTTTAAAGAATAAAATCAATTTGATTGCAAACAACCATCATGAGAATAATTGACAATTCCATGTTTGATGCGTGCTTCAAATTTTTGCACATGTTATTTCTTAGAGAGTAAAACAAGAATATACTGCAAGAGCATATAACTATCATAGTCAAATGGAAAAATATATCCCAAATTTGAATCCTATTTAAGCTTCTGAAATTATCATTGAAACCTCTGGATTATAACCCTTCAATTGTTTATATTTTAGTGCTACAGAAATAGAACATAAAAATTTGCTTTTGGACAAAAATGTTAAATTATGAATAGGCAGCTATCTCTCCGTTGTTTCTTTCTAAGGAGACTTGTAGGTATTATATTTTACCTCTGAGATGGGTTTCTCATACACATCTTCTCCTATGGACTTCTCTTGGGCCAGAATGGCATCTCGATGCAGGACCCGAAGCACTTTCTCTGGCTCTGCAGATCCGTAATGAGCTTCCAGAACCTCAGGCTTGGTTTTTTCCGTCTTCAACATATGGATCACATCTTCTCTGGCCTGTGGTAGAAAGTGCAGCAAGGTAAGATAATTAGCCATCTAAATCAATACTGAGCTCACAAAATCGACATGGAGCTTGTTGAATTGATCCCCACCTCTCTAGGGCTATTGGCAAATTCACTGAGTATTCTGCTGTTATTTTTTACCAACAGCAGATTGGCAAGCAGATAGTCTGCTTCAGGTTGCTAGGAAGCAGGCAAATACGAAAAGGGTTTGTACTAATATTAACCACACAGATATTGCTTGATCTGAGTAGCAGTGTTTTGGGAGAGGCCGGGATGGAGCTGGTCCTGGGAGTCCTCATCTGTTCCTGTGCACACGAGATCAGTGACAATGTAAAATCTTCTAATTTCTATTTATAATTTCAATGCTTTATCTAAATCTGGTGTAAAGGAAAATACTGCTCCCTTCAGTGTATTGCTCCATGTTAATTATAGCCAGCTATAACTCCATGTATAATTAACAAATGTCCTTTATTAGTGATTTCCTGTTTCTCATCAAACCATTCATTTTACACAGAACACATGGCCATGAACTCACACTGTGCTTCATAATCTAATGTATTCATGCTGAAGGTGAAATTTCACTCTTCTAGCATCCAGCCTGCTACCATATGAGTCAGGTTGGGATTATGGCTGCTAGTTTAATTTTTTAGCACGACTAAGATCTTGCTGAAGCTCTGAAGAAAACCATGCGATTGTGGGTTTTTACGTGGTGTTATCTTTCTTCCTCATCACATAATGCACATACATCTGGATGTATTTTTTACTGGTTAGATGTGATGCTGTTTCTAGTCATGATGGAGCTGACATTTGCTGAACACACTCCCATCTGGACAGACACTTGGAGCTGTTTTTCCAGCACTGGGGATGGGTTACATATTCCGACTTCATTCCAACTTGCATTGAAGAACACACTGGCTGGGGTCAGAGTTTTAGTCTATGGCTGTAGATTAGTTTTCTCTGTATTAATGCTAACTGTAGATTTGAAACAATAAATCTGGATCATTATGATGGCTACCTAAACAAGAGAGCAACCACAAGTACTATATTTACAGTGTGACTATATGAAATTTATGTTTCTTGAGGTTTCCAACTTTTATGGAATTTTTAATGTCCAAATTATTCTAAGTCCAGATGACTAAAGACCGATTTATTTCTGAAACAACGATGAACTGGAATTTGCATATTTTAGCATCTCTGCCACATATACACATGCTCACTTCATGACAAAAATGGAAAATATGAATTTTGAAGAACTATGATATGGAATGGTAGTGATATTGTTAAGATCAGAAAATAGGTTAATGAAAGGCAATGGTTCTCTTTGGAGAGGAAAGAACAGAAGCATTGTCTCAGAGTGAGGACTGACTTCATGATGTCTCAGCAAAAGGTAACTGCTTAATCCAGATGACACAGCCCTGAATCAGGGTGCAGCATACCTGGTGAGAGGGGAGCAGGCATAGCTCCCTGCTGTATACAGTGGTCCTACACCGAAGAAGCCACAAGACTTGTATATCACTATACAAGGCTTCAAGGCTTCAAGGAAGGAAGGCTTCCTACGTTCACAGCTCACACAAGTGAACATAGACACATCTTCTAAAGAAATAGTTCTCAACACTGGCTGCACTGGAGTCTCCTGAGGAATTTTATAAAATCCAAATGCCCAGACCATGCTAGACTACCTACATCCAAATCTCTGGCAGAAGGATTCATACATTGGTACCTTTTAAAAGTCCTAGATGATTCCAGGGTTAAAATTACTGAGCCCACTCCCAAGGTACACATGTGTTCCCCAAGGGTTCATGTGCTGGGAGCTGGGTTCCCATTGCAGATATGGAAAGTAGTAGAATCTTAAAGATCTGAGATTTAACACAGGTAATTAGGTCATTGGCGATCCTCTCAGAAGAGATTGGTGTAGTTTCCCAGGACCTTCCTAGTCTCTGAAACAGCTAGCTGTACAAAAGAATAGGCTGGTCCCTGGATCTCTGTGGCCTCCTGTCTCATCCTATGACAGCTCACTCCCTCCCCTTCACATAGTGTTCTGCCACAGTGCCACCCACTATACCATGCTACAGCCAACAGGGCACTCACAAAAGGCCAGGCTGGTGGGCCAACCAGTTTGGTACTTCTAGCCTCCAAAAGTGTCAGCTGAATGCATTTCCTTTCCTTATGAAGAACCCGGTCTTGGGCATTTTATTACTAACACACTTATTGGTTAAGAGACATAACAACTAAACTGAACAGAAATGAAAATGTGTGGCATTACCCTTTCTAAACTTTTTCATTTTGTTGCAAGTATTTTTTTTTTTTTAACTGTGTGCAGAATAGTGCTACAACCTTTCTTCTTTGTGTCATGCTCACACCTGAAGTCAGTCTTTTGCTTTGGCCCACTTCATCTTGAAGGAAGAAATAGAATTTACTAACTTAGGGAATCATGAGGAGGAAAACTTTAGAATCACATTTGAAAGTGAAAAAATGGTGATGAGAAAAGGTTGCCCAGCCAGAAGTCTCCATAACAAACTGCAGTCTTTTCCTGGTCTTTGAATCAGGAAGTGATGTTTTCTAAAACGCACATTTTAGCATCTCAACTACAAAGACCTATAGGGAAGACATAAAATGTACTGTCTTGTGAAAATAAATTGAAATATAAAATAATACAAAATAATGTACTTCCACTTGTCTAATAAATTGAGATACTGATTCAAAGTGAAATTTAAATACTTCACATTTCTATTCCCCTGCTCTCTAAAAAACATTACAGTGGGTATGTAAAAACAGAACAAAAATAGAACTCAAATTCTTCAGAATAGAAATCACTGTAGAAGCTTAGAAAGTAGATTTGATCATATGGTACTTTGTTAATTGAAAAAAATTCTGAAACACCAAAAGGATAAACATAAAAGCTTTGGTAGTGAGATTAAAGACTATTTTTATTCTCCTTTTTGTTGATATATATCTTATGAGCTTTTTACAGTGAATACATAATTAATTTTATAAAAAGAAACAGTTGTGCTTTTATAATGAAAGAAGAAATACTATATTATTTCTATTTCACATAAATGAAACAAAAGAAATAGTTTAGTAGAAAGCTCTATTCCATATATCTGATGCTGAAAAAGCTACCTTCATTCAGTGATCCATAACCCCACACACAAGTCTCGGGGATCTAACAAAGGATGACATAAAGCCAAATTGCACAAAGATTGTACTACAACCTCTTAGGCATTGTTTTGTTTCATTCATTGTTTTGATTCATTTCAAGCAGCAACGGATCCAGAGATAGAACAGCCACTAAGGTGAGTAAGTGTACTAATAAATACAGTGTAGGTGTAGGAAATACAGGTTTTCCTGCTGACATTTGTTCTGATTAGCAACATTCTAACTGACAGTTGAAGGAATCACAACTGAACTGCTTATGAAGGACATTCTGAAAATGTACTTGTCTGTAATTATGGATGAAAATATCAGAAAGTGGCTTTTGAATGTTACCTGTATCAAATAATTTTAAGAGTATAAATTGCACTACTAGTTAATACAGGTTTACACATCCTGAGCATGAAAGAACTCAAAGAAATCTTCAAGTTCTCAGACAAACAAAATTTGGACTACATGAATATAATAACATTATGGTATGGTAGAACAAGTCCAGGTTTAAAGAGACACAAAATTAATTTCTATTTCTACCTGTGCTGTGTAATTTAAAGCAAGTTGTTAACAATGCTTTGACCTAATTTTATCATGTATAAAATAGGATCACAATAACTTGCTTACAGAATTGTTGTCAGGATAGATTCAGATATAAAATGCATACTATAGAGCTTGGACACAGTAGATATAAATCAATGGTAACAATTTGGTTTCTTTCGGGTTTCCACCATTAGATGACTTTAGGCATACAGGGAAAAAAAGAGTTTTAAAAGATGTATTTTCTCCTAATCAAGTGTAAAATGTTAAGACTGAGAGGGTTTAATTGTCTATACATTTCACAATGTGATCTTATGGATTTTTTCAAAAGGAGTTTTAAGACCAGAACAGTTTGTATCCAAACATTATTTAATCTCCTTGACTCAGTTTCCTGTAAAGTAGGGACACTAACCCCTCTGCGTCATAGGAATTTTAGTAGATCCTAACAAGGTATCACAAATAAAATGCTTTACAAACTGTAAACAGGAGGGTATTTCAGTTTAGTAATTTAAACTATTCAGTTTAAAACTATGTAAATATTTTTGGTATTTATTTTTTTTTTATTTTTATTTAAGGAGAAAAGAAAAGAAAGAAAAAAAAAACAGTGAAGGGGTACAAGTTATACAGATTTACAGAAGAAAAAAATGCGCAGTAGGAAATCACTAGTTAATGGATTACATATTGCCATCTTAGAAATAATTGTTCAAGTCACAAAATTAAAGCTTGTAGAGTGGACATTCCAACAATGATACTGCAAACAGTTCTGTTCAATGATCCAATAAAACTCTGTGATATCATTTTCTATCTTATACATTTAAATATACATGCAGTTATATAGTTTAGAGCACTTTCTTTTCCTCTCTTTTGTACAGTGACTATTACACATTTTGGGTTTCATTGCTCCCACGGTTCTAATTGCTTTTTTGGAAGAGAGTAAAACCAAATGTGACATAACAGAACAGAATCGGTCAAGTCAAAAGGGTGGACATAATAGATAATATAAAAACATAATACAAGGTGATCAACAATGGTTACCATAATGGCTCCCGCTATTTCTAATAGAATTGCCTATATCATTAGTTGTGATACAATTGAACAAAACCGTAAAGAATAAAACCGACAAAACCAAAACATTGGAGATATTGTAGGTCTTCAAAAGTAGATAAAAGTCAACGAGAATGGGCGTTATAATGAATCTCATTATCTTCTCAGCTGATGCCTAAACTTTCGAACCTGATACTATCCAGCAAAACAGAATAGAGGAACCTCAGTCAAAAACAAGATGGTGAGAGTAATACAGGGCTTCAAATCGAG